CCCCCCCCCAGCATCCTCTGCTCACCTTCCACTTGCTCTTTGCAAAATTCTTCTTGATCTGCTCGCTCACCGACTGGTGGATGTTCTTGTCCAGGGCTGTGTCCCCAGCAATCCTGGGGCAGGAGGGGGGGAGTCAGCGGGGGCCCACCGTGCCCCACGGCTGCCATGGAGTGAGTCAGGGGCAGGGGGGTGGGAGAGAGAGTGGCAGGTCCCCCTTGCCAGGGATGCTGCAGGGCTTGCTCACAGGTGAAGCGCTTGCCAGGGTCCTTCTCCATCAGGTGCTGGATGAAGTCCTTGGCTGGGACGGGGCATGGAGCAGCTGTCAGCGCCTGTGCCTGCCACCACCCCCCCAGCCCCCAGCACCCCGGTGAGGGGGTTCCCAGCTCACCCGAGTCTGAGATGTCATCCCAGTAGGGTGAGTCAAACTCGTACTCAGCCCGCAGGATCTGCTCGAAGAGCTTGGCGTCGTTCTCGTCGTAGAAAGGGGGGTAACCACAAAGCCTGGGGGGGGTGGCGGGGAGGGGGATGCTGGCCCCGGGTGGCCCCAGGGGGCCGGACCCCCGTGGAGGGGAGGGGGCGGGAGGGGGGGTACGTACAGAATGTAGGCGATGACCCCGATGGACCAGCAATCCACTGCCTTGCTGTAGGGCTTCTGCGCCAGCACCTCCGGGGCTGGGGAGGACGGCAGGGGTGAGGGGGGCCCCCAACCCCAGGGAGGGACCCCAACCCCACACCCAGGGTGGTGACAGCCCGTGGCAGGCGCTCACCCACGTAGCCGGGGGTGCCGCAGGCTGTGGACATGATGCTGCCACAACCCTCGATCTTCGACAGCCCAAAGTCACTGATCATGATCTTGGAGTCCTCGTCCAGGCTGTAATAGAGCAGGTTCTCGGGCTGCGGGGATGGGGGGGGTCAGGGAGGGGTGACGCCGGGGTCCCCTCCCCGCCACCGCAACAGGGGGCTGTGTGTGTGTCCCCCCCGCCACCGCTCACCTTCAGGTCGCGATGGACGATGCCCATGTCATGCAGGTACTTGACAGCGTCGAGGATCTGCCGGATCAGGGTGCTGGCATCCCGCTCGGTGTAGAAGCCCTTCTCCACGATGCGGTCGAAGAGTTCCCCCCCCGAGACCCTGTGGGGTCGGGCAGTGCCGGTCAGCACGGCCCCCCCCTTGGCCCCTCTGGACCCCCCCCGACGTCACTCACAGCTGCATGATGAGGTAGAGGTGGGTGCTGCTCTCATAGATGTCATCCAAGGCCACGATGTTGGGGTGCTTGGTCCTGGGGGGGGGGGAGGCGCGGCAGGATGAGGGGGCTTCCAGCTGCCCCCCCACCCTGGCCCCCACCGGACAGGGAGCAGCCAGGCTCAGCCCCATGGGGCATCACGCGCTGCCGGCTATTTTGGGCGCTGCCGATAACACCCGGCGATGGGTGCTGGCAGCGGGGAGCCATGCCGGTTGCTGGGGGGCGGGGGGGGCGCAGAGCAGGACCCCCCATGCTGGCACTGGGACAGCCCCTACTTGTGGAGGACGGCGATCTCGTTCTCGATGCTGGTCTCCTTCCCCTCCAGCGCCTTCTTGGCGATGCACTTGATGGCCACCAGCTTCCGCGTCGCCTTCTCCTCCGCCAGGACCACCTCGGAGAAGGCCCCCCTGGGGGGGGGGCATGAGGGGTGAGCGGGGCAGGGGGTGCCGCTGGCCGGATCCGCTGCTGCCGCCACACTACAATTGCCATGGTGACGGGCAGAAAGTCCAGCTATTTATAGGAGAAAAGCGAGCGGGAGCCGTCCGCTGGGACGGCCGGACATGGGCCCTGCCAGGGATGGTGCGCCCGGCATCCCTTGGCCCTCCTGGCAGGGCTGCACCGTCCCCTTATCAGGCAGGATAAAGCCGTGGTGCTGCTGGCAGCTGGGGCTGAGCCATGCCGGGGCTGAGCCCCTGGGTGGGTTTCGGCAGCCCCGTGCCGTGTCATCCAGGGCAAGCAGGGCCAACGTGCCCTGCGCCGGGAGGTGTGTGGGGACCACCTGAAGGCCGAGGTGCCCGGCGGGAGCTGGGACAGAGCCGTCGGTGATGTCCAGGTGGGGCAGGTGGTGGGCAGCCTGATCGCGCCCCACCGGGCCCTAAGCCTTGCCGTAATTAACCTGCTAATCCAGCCTAAGAGCCTTACGGTGCTTCGGGCACCGCCGGGCACCCCTCTGCCAGCCGGGGGACCACCACCACGCGTCCTCGGCATGGCTGCCGGCACGGGGAACCGGCCAGCGGCAGAGGGAGGTGGCAGGCAGGGCAGGCAGCACCGCAAACCCCTGCCCGTACCCAGCGGTGCAGGGCCTCGTGTGCCAGCCCAGCCTTGGGCCAATATTTGAGCTGGCGCGGTTCCACACAGCGGATTTGGCAAAGCCGGAGGGGTCAGATCCGGCACCGCGAGTGGGTTGTCACTGGTGTCCTGTCCCCCTCCCGCCGCCTGTGACTCACGTGCCCAGGACCTCACGGAAGTCATAGATGCGCCGAATGTCCTCGGTCCTCTTCTTCCAGCTGGGCCCATCCTGCCCCAGCGGCATGGTGCCCTGTGGGGCCACCCACTCCCACCTGTGACACGAGTGGGGACACGACGGCGGCGTGCTGGAGCGGGGTGTGGGGGGTGGCGTCCAAGATGCCATAAGGATGTTGGGATGTGTGTGGGGGGAGTGACAGGGGTACCAAGGGGACGTGATCGGTGGTTGTCATCATGGGGTGATGGGAACAAGCTCTGTGCCTTTGCTCCAGCCCCCCGGCCAGCCCCCCCCCCCGCCACGCGCGGAACTCCTGGCGTGGGGTGCCCCCACGGGGGGACTACACACTGTGCCCCTCCCGTTGCCTGCCCGCCTCATAGGGCAGGCGCGGGGCGGGCGGGCAACGGGAGGGGCAGAAGAATACGCGTGGGTGCTTGGGGGGGGTCCCCACTCACGCCTCCCCCACGCGTGTCACCTGGTACAGCCGCGCCGGGCGGGACACGCGTGGCGACAGGGCTGCGTACCCGGTGGCGGTGCCCCCACC